GTTCCAGGTGCAGAGTCTGCTGGCTGGGTGCTGGCAGGCTTGCACCTGGCCCCGGCACCGTAGCCAGACCGTGCCCCTTTAAGGGCTCTGGGGCCGGGAGGGGGGCAGAAGAGTTTCCCTGGTGGTGCCCAGAGTGGCCACCAGGGAAAGCTGGGGAGGGCTAGCCTCCCACTAGTTCGAATTAAGTGGCTACGCAGCTCTTAATTCAAACTACTTAATTCGAACTAGGCGTTAGTCCTCATAGAATGAGGTTTACCTAGTTCGAATTAAGCGCTCCGCTAGTTTGAATTAAGTTCGAACTAGCAGTTTGTATGTGTAGCGCCTATCAAAGTTAATTTGAACTAAAGTCTGTTAGTTCGAATTAACTTTGTAGTGTAGACATACCCTCAGAGACAGAGGAAACCATGAGACTCAAAGAGCAATAGAAGCAAGCTGCAACTAGATGGTCTAGTTAGCATCCTCTGCATAATTTCATGGGGGGTGGGGAGGAGCTGGAACATTTCTGTATTGAGTGGGGAGTACAAAAGAGATCATCAATGGCACAGGAACAGTTCACTGCTGGATTTTTTGTCTCATCAGGTGGTTCTTTGACAGATATTTCTATAAGAAAGGCTAGAGATTTGTTTGAATTGCCAGCCAAACCAGTGCAGCTGTAGTACTGTAAAATGAACAATAATTTGTTTATTTGATGGTAGTGAAAAACACCATTTGTAATGATTTTGGAAGGGAGTCGTCCTCACCAATACTTCATTGCAGCCTGCTGCATTGCAAGCTTGGCTGTTCTGCTGCCACCCAGTTTTATTTGCAAACTACTTCTTGATTTACAAACTATGTATACGTTATTGTAAACCAAGCACAAAAGATGTGGCTGTTTAAAAAACAAAATATGTTGAGAAAGCTAACACACATTAAGCCACCATTTGGGGCTCTGGGTGGTAAAACAAAGAAGTTAGCAGTGTGAATCAAAAGAGAGCACTATTGAAAGCTCTGGGTCTTGTAAATGCAAAGTTAAGGAACAATAGAAACTTAGGTGCATTCATGAGAAGCACAAAAAATAAAATAAAATAAATCATTAGCTCCCTTGCCAGAAAGATCAGGGAAAATTCTTATAATGTGCAGCACATCAGTTGCTGTCTGATAAAGGCAGTCGTCCTCTGGTTAGGCTCATCTGTGAGTAAATCCTAGGAATGTCTGTGGTTCTCTTTTTGAAGATAACCACCATACATTTATAGCTTTCTAGTTTTGGGGTGCTCTTTGAACTTAATCCTACTCCCTCTGAATGGGATTTTTGCTATTGCCTTCAATGCAGAAGAAAGCTGTGAAGCTAAATAGAAGTGAATGACAATACACAGACAGAAACCTAGACATGCAAAGAAAAAAAACCACACCCCACCCTGAAATCCACTAAGTTGGCGGCAAGCTCAGAAAATAGCCATACAAATTCATGAAGAAGTTAATTCTCCATGATAATATTTTACCGTGAGCCTGAATGTATTCAAGAGAAGAAGGGAAGATTACAAACTTTTATTGAAATGTTGTTAAAAAACTGCTACGAAGAATCAGCTTCTTCATCATTACCTCTTAACACCAATTGAAGGGACCCTTAAAATGTCTTGAATTACCATATACTTTCCAGATTAAGTTCTTCTACATGAATTATTTAAAATTATTAAAAACCAAGGAATAAGATTTATTTCTATTATGCACTCTAAGGAGCAAAACCTGCAGTCCCATTTGATACCTTTAGTAGGCAAAAATCTCAATCTTTATTTAAAGGTCCTTATAGAATCTAGAATAGAATTCTTAAAAAGGACACCACCGCTATCACTGCTGAAGCTAGTGACCTCCATTTGTCTTAATTTTCACATCAACTGACGAGATTCTTTAAATAGTCTTTTAACCGCATCACTCTGACACACAGTATATCCTCCCATAACTTGGTACAACTGCTACCTTAGCACAACTGCTAAATCTGTCCATTTCTTCTTAAATTTCCAGCTTGCCTCTTTGGGTACGTCTAGACTACATGCTTCTGGCGACAGAGGCATGTAGATTAGACTACCCGGCATAGGAAAATGAAGCGGCGATTTAAATAATCGCCGCTTCATTTAAATTTAAATGGCTGCCGCGCTAAGCCGATTAGCTGTTTGTCAGCTCAGCGCAGTAGTGTGGACGCTCCGTGGTCGACATCAAAGGCATTTGTCGACCTCCCAGGGATAAGGCATACCCAGGAGGTGGACAAATGCCTTTGATGTCGACCACGGAGCGTCCACACTACTGCGCTGAGCTGACAAACAGCTAATCGGCTTAGCGCGGCAGCCATTTAAATTTAAATGAAGCGGCGATTATTTAAATCGCCGCTTCATTTTCCTATGCCGGGTAGTCTAATCTACATGCCTCTGTTGTCAGAGGCATGTAGTCTAGATGTACCCTTTGAGAAAACTGAATGTATGTTTCTTACTTTTTGTTTGCTGGTGACTTATAGTTTTGAATGCTTATTCATAAGCAATTGAAAAGACACTTAAATGCTCCTAATTAAAGCAGCAGCTTTAATTATTTGTGTTTTTCTGACTTTTTTTTGTATAACTAAAGTTAATTTCAATAATTAGTCCTTGAAATCATGTTCCACAAAGAAATACTATGTCTTCATTTCTTCCTCATCTTTCAAATCCTTCCATAACTTTAGTGCCAGTTTTTAATCCTTGCAGAACAAT